ACTGCAAGGCAGTAGTTTTTCACAACTTATGCGATTCGGCGACAATCAAAATGTTGTGTTTGAAGAAAGGTGCCACGATTAATTGGAGGTCGAAGAAGAGAATCCGTACGTACAGATTCCCTTCTTCGATCCTTTTAAGGGTATGCATGCACGTTACACAGCAAAGGGTTAACTCTCAGCGACCTTGCAGGCGTGCAGTCGTGTTTTAAATGTTGTTCCAATGTGAGGCTTGACTCTGCTCCCTTCCCTTTTTGAAGGCTTAGCTGATGCACGCGTCACGTGAATGCGGCAGGCGATGAAGCAGTTGGGCAGCCGAAATTCATTGGAAAAAGAAGTGGTCTCTATCTGGCTCTCCACATATCATTCATACTGACTTTTTTCAGTACAAACTTTGAACTTGGCGCAATCACCGTGGATCCTGGCTCGACGGCGTATAATCCGCGACCACTAATTGACTACTGTAGATCTCTGAATATTGACTATTTCTACGAAGAGCAAGGTGAGTTCTATGATGTCTTTTTGAGACAAAAGAAAAGGCTTTGAAGCCTTGATTCCAATTCTTCACCCTTGTCACGGTTGTTTCAGACATTATCGGAGCAGCAAGAAAGCTTAACACTGTACGATCGATTTGTGCCTTCTGCAGTCGTATGAAACGAGGTCGGCTAGCGGCAGCGGCTCAACTGCACGGATGGAATGTACTGGCAATGGGCCAACATCTAGATGACGTTGCTGAAAGGTTCGTAGAGGACTATTTCTCATTATTTTTAGATGAAATTCACAGGGAGATATAACAGATAGTTAAGGCATGAATGCGGTTCTAGGTTGGCGTGAGCCGCGAACACTATGAAGTTTTTGCTTCCTCCATCAGTTGATGACTTCGTAACGCCAACACTAGCACACGACAGCCAAATGCCGCCGTTGTGATGGCTAGTGAGTTTTTGCCGCTCCGGGTCATCCCACCCACATGGCATTGCGTCCTCGGCTCTTAGAATTCTCAGCCTAGTTTTGTTGCCTGTTCTGCCTACGTCTCAATTTTATGCGGTTACTCTCACTTACGGTGATGTGATATTTGACCTAGAGTTCAGGGTTCTGTTCAGAGGATCAAGTTATCCCTTGGTGAAACGGTCAAACAATGGTATCACCTCAGCATTCGGCTGTTAGTGATGAAGTTCGGGACTCATCTTGAAGGTACCTTCCATGATTAGCTCGATGGGAAAGTCCTTCTCAGGAAAAAGGTAACTTGGTTCGCAACCGCAGAGGTAGTGGCACATTCGTGCAATTCGAGTGTCTGCGTCTCGCTAAGTCCCCTAATTCTCTTTGGTCTCTGTGCTTGTTCTCCTACCCCAGCGCCTAGTGTCTCTTACATTGTGCCTCGTGGACTCTTTCACCGCCTTGGAAGGCGAGGTTCTTACTGTCCGTTTTTTCGGCTGTTTCCTTCATTGGCGCGTCATTTAGCACCTGTTGCACAGATAAACGTTACCCTGTTTTTTTTTGATTGCATAAAGTCACTTTAACCTTTACTGAAGTTATGCTTTGAAGTTAAGTGCGAAGCGAGGTGCGCGTGCAAATATCCTACTATTTCGGAAAGGAGTCAAAACTATATGGCTTATATTCCGATCGTTCTCAGCGCTGAGTCTTTTATCCGGTGACTGAGTGGCAAACCTCATTGTTTGTTTAGATGTTTTGAGAAAGGCAATTAGTAGGTCGGTTGTGGTAAATAATTTATCGAAGCAAGTTACTCGATTAATTAATTATGCACATCTTATACACAAGTTTACCCATAACCCTCGAAGTATTATAGGTTAGGAAGATCGAAAGTTGGCTTGGCTTCCCATCGGAATTAGAAATTGAACAGGCGCTGTCTTGGTTTCAGATCCGTCTCCGGAGATGAATCGCCGGTGAATGGTTGGACGGATTGAAAACTGCGATCGTGATTTTCACTTTTGGCGCTTTTGGTGGATAGTCGGCGTCAGCGCTCAGCTGAAATTTATCTCATTGAATAGTGCATCGTATGAATTTTACGAAATGGGCAAAGGAAAACGCGCTAGGGCTCACAAGGTGGATATCCATTGATAGACCGCCGTCGGCGAATTTTCGGGCAGCGCTGGCGAAGTTTTTGGCGAAGTTGCCTGAAATCGTCGATTTCTTCATTT